AGCACGCATGCATGCCACTTGACCTTCCGAAACTCGGGAGGTCAACCGCAATAACGCGGAAGCCTTGTTCCAATATTGGCTTGCTGTGTACAGCGAAACGACCTCCGTAGTCGTTCAAACCGTGGACAAAAAGGATGTCGGTGTTTCGTTGTTTAACCGCAGTAGGTAACGACCAGGTCTGATAGTAGACGAAGCCATTGGGGTCATCTGTTGTGGGAAAAGGTACTGTGTGCTCGGTGCAAAAATAGGGCTCAGAACGAAAAACTTTTTCAGCTTCGTTGTACGGAATGGAAACTCTCCCATAAGTTAACTCTCTCTCTTCTTTCGGGGGGTTTATTAACTTGAGGGTTGGCTCGAGAAACCCGCTGAGGAAGGCGTTTGCTCCATTCGTTGAATTACTCATCATGCAAAGATGGCGTTTCGAGTCGAAGATGGGTTAAGTTCGGACAGTGTTAAAATTTTTTTCGGCGATTTCATTGGCTATAAATTGACTACGACTGTCCAATAGTATTGTCTTGTTAGGAACGTGGGCTAGAAATTGTAGAAAAAAAAGAAATATCAAATACGCGAAGCACCAAGTGCAATTTTCACCTCGAAGAAAAACGAGATGAAAAGAATGGCGAGAAGCAAAAATCATTCAACGATCTAACTTTAAAAAATTGCGAAACTTGATGTTCTCAACCTTAATTAAATTTCGTCATTATGCCGTCATATAGTCATTGTCGTATTATTAATATTAAAAGGATCTACATGTCACGCACGGGTGATTTTAATTTTACACGGTAGAAATCTCCTGAACTTTATTGAAAAGAAACTGAAACCTGTTCTGCGAGAATAATGTATTGTCATGTGATTACGCTTATTGTATTCGAATATTATTATTATATAGGTAGTAATTTTAGATGAATCAAAAAAATATTTGTACTGTATATATTGTATAGTCTGGTGCAAAAAGTCTTTGGACTAATATTTTTTATTATAATTTAATAAATAATTATTGAATTTAAATAAAACTTTAATATTTTTATTATAAGAGTATCATTGATTATATATTTAAAGTTTTATCAATTATCAATTATTATTTTATTATCTAAAAAGAAAAAATAGATACTATTTTATTGATGAATTTTATTTTATATACAGTATATAATTTACATATAAAAAATATAATTTTTACTATAACAAATTTTTAAAAAAAATTTTTTTGATAATAAAAAAATTGTAAAAAGGTTATCTATTTGGTAAAATAATTTCAATAAAATTTTTTTATTTATAATATATAGTAAAAATTTGAATATTATAAAAAATCAATTCTTTATTTTCAAATTAAATATTTATAATTTTTTTAAAATATTTTAAAAATATTTTTAAGTAATCTTAATTTTTATATTTTAAAAATATAAACATAAAATTTTTTTTTATTTTGTTTATTGAATTATCAAATTATAGATTAAAATTATAAGTCAATATTTGTTCAAAGACTTTTTATTAAGCAATATATAATTACTTTCAAAAGTTTAAATCTATTTATTATATTTTTATTATAAATTTTAATTTTTAAATTTTTAAATTAATTTTTTTTTTTTAAACCCATAGTCAGGCCAATATAGTATGTTTATTAATCATAAATAACAAAATCGCTTGCAATACATTGAGCAAATATATCTTGGCTAAACTAAATTTCATGCTAATTTACTTGTTACTTGAAATTCTCAAATAAGCTTCAAGTTTTTAAGTATAACTTTGAGAACTTCAAAATAGATTTTGAATGAAGATTCTCTATTATTGCCAGCAGGTTACCATTGCTGATTATCCTTCAAGGAACTGATTTCTAGAAATTACAATAAGGAAAAGGAAAAATAAAAGGAAAGAATATATTTAAAAATATACAAATATGCTATATAAAAAGAAAAGAAGAAAAAAGAAAAATAAAGATGTTCTATATCCA